GACTTTCCTCAGAAATTAAGTATTTGAAATCTTGTATTATTTGAATATGTCTTATTTTTTAAATATATATTTGATAGTTTGGCTGATACTAAGTTGGAAATTATTTTTGCTTGGAATTTTGCTCAGTGGCACAGTGCTTGCCTAGCAAGTGCGAGGTCATGAGTTTGATTCCTAGTACGGAAAAAAAAAAAAAAGAAACACCCAATAAATTTGAAAGCTTTGCTCTATTTCCTATCTTCCAGAGTTGTCTGAGCTTGTTCTGTTCTGATTTAGATAGTCTTGCTATGTGGTTCTGGTCAGTCTTGGTAGAATGTGCTATGTAGACAGGCTGGCCTCCAGCGTGTGTTCTTCTGTCTCAGCTTCCCAAGTAGTATACTGGGATTGCAGGGTATGCCACCATTCCTCTCTTGGGTGATTCCTGATATTTTGTGTGTGACTTTTGTTCCTCTGTTGCTCTGAAAGCTTATAAACTTTCTGCTTGTCCTTAGTGTTTAGAAGGCTATCTCTTCATGTGCATTTGTTTTCATTCATTGTACTAGGTACCTGGTGAATCCTTTTGATCTATACACATTTAGTTTCCTTTAGTCTGGGACACTTACTGGAGTGATTTCATTACTTTATTTTCTCTTTGTAAAACTTATTCAGGTGTTGATATTCTTGTATTGAATTTGTAATTTTTCATCTTTGGTGTATCTTTGCTTCAGAAGAGTTTTATCTATTTTGTCTTCGGAAGAGTGAGGTTTGTCTTCAAGCCTTTTTCTTCTTGGGTGGGTGAAACCAAGAGAAGTTTTTAAAAGTGTTCTGATTTAGGGAATAGTAAGAATTTGGCTTTCACTATTCTGTTACAAACTGGGGAAATGGCTGAGCTTTAGAACATTCTGTCGTGTATGGTGATACTTGTACACTGTGATTGGTGTTGCTTTAGTTTTCCGGAAGTTGTGGAGGGCAGGACAGTGATACAGTGGTTTGGAGTAGTGGAAAAAATTTAGATAAGTGAACTATTTGTCAGCTTTCAGCTATCCATACTTTATAATCCTGAACTCTATGGCTACAAGTTTTGCCTGTTTGTAGGTACTTTGAGGCTTGCTGTTGGCAAAACTTTTTCACTGATGACTTAGAATTTGCCATTCTTGGATCTCAGTTGTCATTCTTTTCAGTTTCTAAAATGTAGTACAAGTACCTAATTTATGTATAGCTATTTTCTTCTGTTCTTGCTTCCTTTTAATTTTATGTATAAAATATTTTTAGTGTGCTGTTAGCGTGGATTAGGAAAGAAGTGACTTTATGTTTTGTTTTTGAGACAGGGTCTCACTATGTCATCCAGGCTCACCTCAAACTTGTGATCCTCTTGCCTCAGCCTCTTCAGTGCTGAGATTACAGATGTGTGCACCCACACCCAGTTCTGGGGCCAGCACAGCATGTGCTGCTGGGGATTGAACTCAGTCCTTGAGCTTACCAGGCAGGCGCTTAGAGCACTGAGCTATCTCCCCAACCTCTAAGTTGTTTAATTGTTCAGATGTCCCATTTGTCTTTTAGTTAATGATTTAGAATTGTTTTTAGCAAGTTAAATTTGTGCTTGTATATTTTTGTAGTTGTGATCCTGTGGTACCCATAATCTTTTTTTTTTTTTTTGAGACAGTGTCTTGATATGTAGCCCAGCCTGGCCCTGAATTTACAGCTGCCTTCCTGCCCCCACCCCTGTCCAGTCTTATTTTTATTTGTGTTAGCCACCAATAAGTGAGGTTTTTTTTTCCCCTTCTTGATAGTTCAAGTACATCCAAAGTTGCAGACCTGTGCATTGAATTTATTTATATGAGGATGATTTATCAAATTGACTTTTACTTAATATAGATACATATATGCATTATTAATTTTAATTCCCTTTAATAGGTAGTTTCTATTTTAGGATTTAATTTGTTGGAGAAGTAACAACTTCACTTATTTTCCTCACAAAACCTGTTTTTATTTATTTTTATTTAATTTATTTTTTTATGTATTTAGTACAGAGTCTGCAGGGTCTAACTACACAGATGGGACTCATAGTGATTCTTCCTGTTTTTCAGCCCCCCAAGCGCTGGGATTACAGGTGTGCGCCACTATGCCCAGTCTCTGTTCCCTTCCTGGCCCCTGCGTCTGCCTAAGCACTTGTACTACATTTTAATCTGCTGAGCCATCTGGATGTCCCTACAAAGCCTGTTTTTAAAATGTACTGAGCCTGGACCTGATGATGTGCGCCTGTAGTCCTAGTGCTTAGGAAGCTGAGGGAGGAGGCATCCCTGTGAGTTTGAAGCCAAAGTGAACTACGTAAGAGATTGTATCTCAAAAAAAAAACAAATAAATAAGAAATGGACTGAAATTAGAGAATATTTAACTATCATATTATTAACCTATATTTTTACAGAAAAATACCCCCCCCCCCCAAGAGTCTTGCTTTGAGCTGTTATGGAGCTATCTATACAGTTTAATGCAGCCTAGACTATATGTGATAGTCCTGCTTCCTTTGTGTAATCCTTAGTACTGGTATATAAGGCTTTCCTCTCATTTTTTTTTTTTTTCCCTTGCATTTGAAGGAGTTAAACTTTTCTTCTGCTGGCAGAGAGATGATTGGATTCATGCCAGGCAAGCGCTTATTCTACTGAGCCATCTTCCCAGCCCCTAATACTATTATCTTTGATGTTAAAAAATGCAAAGTGTATTTATTTAT